GATGTGCTGTTCCAGTCGTTTTTGGATAATCTTCAGTAAAATCTTGCTTGCATGTGAAATCAGTGAGATTGTTCTGTAGTTTCCACATTCTGTTGGGTTACCTTTCTTTGGGATAGGAACAAATTCCGATCTCTTCCAGTGAGTTGGCCAAGAGGTCGTTCTCCAGATTTCTTGGCACAACTTGGTGAGAACATCCAGGGCAGCATCTGTTAACTGAAATATGTCAATTGGTATACCATCTATTCCTGGAGCCTTATTTTTTTGCCATTTCCTACAAAGCAGCCTGAACTTCTTCTTTCATCACCATAGGCTCTTGCTCATATGTTGTTTCATGAAATTCTTCTGTGTCTTCCAATTTCTTTCGACACAGTGACTTAGTATATTCCTTCCATCTTCTTTTAATACTTCCGGGATCATTTAATATTCTCCCTAAAGCATCCTTGATTATAGCAACTCGAGGTTTGAATTTGTTCTTCAGTTCCTTGAGCTTAAGATATGCTGACCGAATTCGGCCCTTTTGATTTTCTGACTCCAACTCCTTGCACATTTCATTGTAATATTTTGCTTTGTCATCCCATGCTGCCTTTTGAAATCTTCTATTCAACTCTTTAGTATCTTAAATTCTTCCCTGTCCTTTGTATGCATACATGTAGATATTATTTATGTGTTGTTGCTTTTGCATTGTTATGTGCCATCAAGTCGCTTAGGACTCATAGTCGACCTATGTACTTTATCTCTGAACCCTGCCCTACTCTGAAACAATCTCACCATTTCTGACAGACCTAAGCCCGTTCCTCCTGTCACTGAGTCAATCCATCTCATCCTGGATCTTCCTCTTCTCCAGTGTCTCTCCACTCTTCCAAGCATGATGTCTTTATCCAAGGACTGGTCCCTGCTTACAGAATTCTCAAAGTATGTGAGACAGTTTCAAAAATCCTTGCCTCCAGGGAGCAGCCTGATTTCATTCTCTGCTGGACAGACCTGTTTGTTCTCCTGGCAGACGACAGTATGTTCAACATTCTTCTCCAGCACCACAACTCAAAGGATTGAAACTCAGTCCTTCTTCCATCATCTTTAGTTATTGTCCAGTTCTCTGATGCATAGCAAGTAATTGTGAAGACCATGGCCGGCATCAGGTGCACCTTAGCTTCAATATTGACATTGTTGCTCTTTAGTACTCTAGATTCCTGACAGCAGACTTTCCTAATGCAATTTGTCTTTTGATTTTCTGACTGATGGTGCCAAGAATGCTAATTGTGGAACCAAACAAGCTGAAGTTAACAGTGTCAATCTCTTCTCCTTCTATCACTAAGCTGCCAGTTGGCCCAGTGGAGAGAATCTTGTTTTCTTGATGTTGAGTTTCAATTTCTATTGAAGACTACAGTCCTTGACTTTCTTTAGCAAATGCCTCAGGTCCTCCTTAGTTTCATCAAGCAAGGTTGTGTTATATTCATAACACAGATTGTTGATGAGTTTTCCTCCAATCCTGATGCCACCTTCCTCCTCATAAATGTGTATTCCTGAATGTGTGTCATGTGTGTATATTTATACATATGCGAATGCCTGTGTGAATGTCTATGGATAGTGATACGTGTCTCTATGTATGTTTACCTGTATTGTGTGTATATGTATGCATGTGTGTATGTTTATGCTTCTGTGTGTGAATATTCAATGTATGAAGGAGATGATGTCATATAGTATCTTTGATAATCCTTGAAGCTACTAAAAGGAGGCCATATCCTGGTTAGATTTGTGTGACTATGAAAAGAAAATAATTTTGCATTTCCTTGAATTGCTCTCCTTAGAGGAGAATTGCAGAGTTATTCCTTTTGAGGAAATTAGTTTTTAAAGAAACAACTACAACGCACTGGACATGACTATGCACAGTTTCACATTCTTGCTTCAAAATAGTAGGTTTCACTCTAATAGAGTCACATTACAGTGAGGTTTTGAACTTTGCACAACAGCTAGATAACTTACAAATACACACACACACACACACACACACACACACACACACACACACACACACACACATGTAATTTGGCCTTCCCATTTAATCCAGAGTTTAAGTTGCAAATGTTTGTTTTCAAAATGCACAGGGATGGGGAGGTTAGCAACAGGTTTCCTGTTGACTAAATAATGACTCAGGAAGTTCAAATGCTCTGTTGTGAGGAACTTACTAGATTCTCACAAGGACTTCAAAACCATTTCTCCTGCACTTAGTGTTATTGTTATTATTTAAAGTGTTCTATGAGTCATCCACCTGCATGTAGTGTTTTATGCACATTTTCTTCCAGGAATTAGCCTCTAAAGGGCAGGGATATTTAGGCGAGTTCTAGAGTTCCTTTTCAGTTGCATAAACTTCTTACTTGAAAAAATTCATTTTCTAAGGATGAAATGAAACCACAAAGCAATGGAATTTAACCATTACATTGCTAGTGATCCTTAGAGAAAACAACACAACAAAACAACCAGAAAACCTTCACTGTTTTCCAGTCAGAATCAATGTATAGTTTGAACCACTTGCATGTTTCTGGGAGATGATTCATCCTCCTCGTGGACAGCTGTTGATGGATTTGAACTCGCAGAGCAGCACCACCTTTGGGTGCAAATCCCTCTCTACTATACCAATAAAGCTCCCTTTTAGAAGACATTCAACTTAAAAAAAATTAAACACCAAAACACATAAAAAAACAACAACACCCCACAGCTATCAAATCTAGTCAGGCTCATTGGGTTTCTGAGGCTGTAAACGTTAACAAGAGAAGATGTCCCCTACTTCTCCTATAGAACTATTGGTAGGTTTGAACTACCAACTTTTCAAATTAGCAATCTAATGTGTTAATGACTATGCTACCAAGACTCCTTCAGAGAAAACTAGTGCTTTCCAAACCAAAAGACCTGCTGGGTTTGAGAATTAAGAAATGTCCATGTTTGCTTTTGAAGATAATAGATTATCATTATTTTATATATCCAATTACATTTCTAGGGAGCTCTGGTGGCCTAGTTGTAAGTAGCTGCACTGAAATCCTAAAGGTCTCAGGTTCAAATCCACCAGCTGCTCCATGGGCGAAGGATAGGCAGTCTCCTCCCATGCAATTAACTGCCTCTGAAAACCAGCAGGAGCATCTATGCTTTGGTTCTGACTCTAAGGTACATAACAACAACAACAACAACAACAACATTACATTTCTAGCCTGACATCTTTTAAAGTTTTTATTCCAATCAATTACTTCAGCATGAGTTCCAGACTGCCTCAATAATGCAAATATCACAGTAAACAATATCACATGTCCTTTTTTATTTCTCCGTGCTTATCAGTTAGGCTTACACAGAACTGTAGTCTGTTAAATGTGCAGTGACTTTATGAAAACATTTGAAATGTAAGAATTATGAAAATATGACACAGAGAGACAACATGAGCACAGGCTATGGGGAAAATGTTTCCCGTGGATTTGTTCAGTGCAAGATGACCACAAACTTTCAATTTGTGAAGAATGCTACTATCTGCAAAGCTCAATAAACTGCAAAAAAGGGGGAGGAGTCCCTGACTAAATGAATTGAGATATTTTGTTTGCTCCTGGAGATTGTTAGTAATTAAAAGTAAAAATGTGACTTTTTCATTTAGAATTGCAAGTAGGCTTGGGTGCAAGGGCAACATTTCAATTTATTGACATGACAGTGATGGGAACATTGCTAGCTGTTTCATTGTTTGTTCATTTATTTACTTTTTTCTTTCCACAGCAAGTTGATGTGGAAAAATGGGTATGTGTTTCCCTGTATTTACAAACATATTGTGGTTTAAGTCAGTGCATGTTTGCTGCTGCCTTTTGTCTTTTTTATTTTGCTTCCTGGTGTGGTGTGTACTGTTTTTGTCCAAATTAACTGCTGTGTGAAGCAAGCACTTATCTTACTACTGGTTCCTTATTAGTTTCTAACAAAGTTTTGCTTTGACCTCTAATAAAATGTGATAGATTAAAATTTCCTCTGTACCTAGAACTATTAAGCTTTTTATATACTTAGCTTTGTAATAATATGCTTCTGACCAACATAAAAGTGTATATATACCATAAAAGCTGTATATCTTTTGCCAATGATCCTCAGTAGTTTCTTAGACCTCCCATTTAGCCCTTATATTTTCCTCTCTAGAAAAATGTAGTTAATATACATGTATTTATATATTCATGCAGTCTTAAAAAGTTGACCTGAAATACTCTCATGTGGGAAGAATGTCATTGGAGGGCTCTAAAGCACGAGTCCTGGAACCAGCTTTGCCACAAACTTGAAGGATATGATCAGATTCTGTCAAGACTTAGTCTTGTATCTTCACATGACACATAGTCAATTTAGAAAAGAAGGAAAGAATAAAAGAAAGAAGAGAGCTAAACTTATTTCACATTATTTGTATCCAGAGATAAGAGTTAAGAGGGAGAAAGATGGGACATCTCTTCCTATGTGAATTTACAGCCTCTGAAAACCCCGAGGGGAGTCAGCCGTGAGTCAGTCAGTTCTGACTCGATGGCACCTAACAAGAGATAAGAGCTGAACAACCTGCTTCTCACTCTACTTTCTTGTCTCCCAACATGTAGAAACAATGAGTTTTTCCACTGTTGGATTGATTTATTCTTACTTGTCTTTGAGACTTATTATGATGAATCATTTCCTTCAAGATTGGTTTCACTTTTAACTTTATTTTCTCTTCTTTATTTTTGCTACTTCTGGAATCCAGTTTCCTTGTTGCATTACTTTGAGAATTTTGCCTTCTTTCTCAGAATCTATTACTAATACCCAGGAGTTCCATAGACTTTCCCAAACAATAATGTACTTGTCTGATCAGTTGCAGTTTTTAATTTTTTTTTCAGCCTGTTGTATCAGGGAGGCTTTTGTTTTAAAATCTTCTATTTCCAAGATGATAACACCCTTATTTTTGAGAACTATGACTTCTTTATTATGTTCCTGGGTATTATTTCACTTTTAATTCCTTTTATAATTACGCCCATACTAATTTTGTTCAAGGGAGCTCTGGTGGTGCTGCCATCTCAAAGGCAGGTGGTTCAAATCCTCCAGCTACTCCAAGGAAGAAAGGTGGGCAGCCCTATCTGAGTTACAGCCTTTGAAAACCCTCTGTGAGTCAGTTCTGAATAAATGACAATGAGTTGAGTTTTGAGTTTTGTTTAACTCTCATTTGTATATCTCATACTTTCTTTTGTGCTTAGAGTTAAAATTCTAACTGTGACCTGACCATTATATTGGCTTGAAACTGGAAAACTGTCCTTTTCTGAGAGCCAGTGTTGTTGTCATTATGTATCATTGAATTGCCTAGGAACCTTTGTGATCCTATAAACAATGGCTCTAAACCTTAACTTAAGCTATGCTCTCCACTCTATCTCCCCCACACTAGAATTCACTGTTACAGCCACTATATCAGTCTGTCCCACTGAGGTCTTCCTCTCTTGTGCTGACCTTCCCCATTTCCAGTCATGCTGTCCTTGAGGAACTGGCCTCTCTCTCCTTCAGCATGCCCTATGTAAGTGAGAGACTTTCACCATCTTTGCCTCCAAGTTTGCTGTTGTTATGTGCCGTTGAGTCGTTTGCGACTCATAGCGACCCTATTCACAACAGCCCTAAATCCTGCCCTATCCTGCGCCAACCGCACTGCCTCTGAAACACCCATCCCGATTACCCCAGTCACCAAATCAATCCATCTCATAGAGGGTCTTCCCCTCCCGCGTTGTCCCTCAACCCTCCCAAGCATGATGTCCCACTCCAAGGACCCATCCCTTCTGGCAACATGTCCAAAGTATGTCAGACGAAGCCCCAGAATCCT